ATTTGCTGGTAGCAGTTTTTGTTGATTACTGACATTGGATATAAATTGAAAATCTTCCCCGTTCAACAATATTCCAGTCCAGGCTAGGAATGAGCTTAATAAAAATACTAGTTCACCCTCATACCACTCTGGACAACAATAAGAATTAGGCAGACTGGGAACAGAGTAGGTTGCAATCTGTGTTTTCAAGTCTAGGATGTATTCTAAAACTTCCATTGATTTCATCTTTTCAGTATCAAATACGGTGATATCAGCAGATCCATATGCTTTATCTTGATATTTCAAAAAATTTTCATAAATTTCTTGAACTTCCGATGTTTTTAATTTATCATCCAGCAGCTTCTTATGTACAGTAACATTATTATCATCGTATTGTGACAAAAGGCAAATCAACATACTAGTAACAGTGTTCTCAAAATCTTCTAAATTCTTAACGAATCTTAAATATATAATACATTTAACGTAAAATTTTCGAACCATGGGAGTTACATTTTCCAAATATATAGATTTTTCCATTTTCATCAATATGCTTATTAAATCAATATTGAGTAATACCGGAGGAAGTGTCCCAGTATTACCTTGAATGTATTTTAAACTTTTTAAGCAATAATCATAAAAAGTGCACATGTTGAGAGCTAAACATGCGCTATTTATAACTACTTGGTGGTATTCGACGTGGAACTGGTATGGCAAATCCATTGATTCATTTTTTAGTAAATTTAAAATTAAGTATTTTATATCAGAATTTTTTACTTTTTCACTTATAATCTGTGAAAGATAGATGGGATCATTATCTACTTTCGCCACGATAGAAATAATGTAATTTTCATTAGTTTTGTAATGTTTCAATTTAATGAGTGGCGCAATCACTTCAATTGCTGTTACGCCAATATTGCAATCAGCATTAACTAATAATTTGAATGTATCTGTATGTTCTGCTGATTTTAAAGAAACTGAGAAAGGTCGGAGACGAACCTTTTTGATTGCACCATGAAATTGAATATTATACCTCATATGTAATAAATCACTGTATTCATCGGACATAGTATCTTCTTCATTGAGACGATTAGCATTAATATTAATATGATCTACAACAGACTCTTCATTAAATGTTTCAGGTTTATCACTTGACACTTGTTTTTCTGAAACGAACTTCGGAAAGTGATGTTGCTCAAGATCACGTTTCAGATCTTTCCTGTTGTTGAATATGGTTATATAAATATTATGAGCAGTCATCGGCCACAATAGTTTACTAGCTTCATTCCAGACGTTCTCCTTGTTCACATCCTCATATTTTTCCTTTCGAAGATTATGCTGATCATCAAATATCGGAAGTGTTTTCAAAACATTAAAAATATCTAGACGTGACTTTATAGGAGGACGTGGCATATTGGAAGGCGAAGAAACTGAAATATAAATAAATTATATACGTTGTAATAAGTGATTAAACGTGAGATAAAATAGACTGTATGAAGTACATACCACTCGATACTTGTATTGAATAATTCAATATTTGTAGCAGTCAAAATGTTTGGTGTATATTGATATTATTGAAATATCATATAGTGCCTATCGATCCAAAAAAACAGCATCGCTTGCATGAATTCTTCGCACAACCAAGAGACATCTCAAAGATCACGCGAATTCAGTTTAGACTCAAATTATTAACTAATGAAAGTATTTTGTTTCCAAGAGATACTAGATTCACAACCTGAAATAAGTAGACAATCTGTAGTTATATCTTGAAGTCGAACGAATGTTTCAAGCGTTTATATGGTTACTATTGAATCTGACTTAAAAAAAATTGAATGCATATGAGAAATAAAAAATAGATGAATTTAGATAGAAAGAGAAAAAGAGTTTAATGAAAATTATCATTTGAACGTAATGAAGCTTACCACTTACAAACACCACCCAGCATCGCAATCCTATTCCAGGCAATTAAACAGTTTGTTTCTTCGTTGAAAGTGCGAACTGCATTGGATTCTCGTCAACGAGGATCACCCTTCAGGAATATCTACAATTCAGACAAATACAGTAACAGTACTTTTTTTTTATTAAACACTAACACGATTTGAAATTTAACGTATTCAGTTTGGACTCAAACTAACTAAAGAAAGTATACTGAATGCACCATACTCGTAAAACAAAAGCCGACGTTCAAAGTTTTGAGAAATCTGAGAATGCGCGCGGACAACATGACGAGACATGCGTGCACCAATCGCACGTGTCGTATTACCTACGCAAGTTAGCGTGGGCTTTTTAAAATAGAAAACTAGTATCATTGATTTCAGTTTATTAATTCAAATGATGTGCACCAACATAAAGCAATTAATTTAATGTCATCATTTTTGGCTTTAAGGAAAAGATTAAAATGTATCTTACTGTAAAACTCAGTTGTTATGCAAATTTAATTTATAATTTTTCGCATGACGTAAGCGTTTATAAAATCGTGGATTAATTAAACTTACGACAGATGCTCCTACGAGTGTAGACGTGACGGCACTCGGAGATGGTAGCAATCAGGTTGTCATAGCGAAACAAGTAAATGTACCCTCAACCTTCTGCGTCTTCTTTATTTTTCTTGATTTTGGTAACGATACTTTGTCTGAAAAAAACGATAGTATGAACACGACTTTACACGCTACCACTTGATGTGTCTAAGTCGCGTTTGGAAATAACGGAACTACTTGTCAAAGTCGATTCAGCTCCTAAGGATATGGCTCCACGTTTATGCCTTTGATTACTCAACGGATTCTCGGCTAACTTGGGCTGGACGGGAACCGGCATTTCATCTGCAGATAAGAGGTCATCTTCAAATCCAGCAACTAATGAATTTGCAGTTTCAGTGTCACTGTAAATAAAGTGTGTTATTCAAGAAAATATCAAAGATATTATATTACAAATATATATATAATAAACGTGTAAAAACGAACCTACCCAAATCACCTTGCTTTTTCTGGCTTGCTTGAGAATTTGACTAGAAATTATCATCGAAAGACGATTTGTCAAGATAGCCATCATCAGGTACGAAGTGTTCAGCAGTAGCTATTGTAGCATTTTTATATACTTTGAAATCGTCAGATGGTTTTTCTTTTTCTAGGCTTGATTCTTTTTTAAGTGTTCTTATTTTTGATACGAAAGACTTTGAGATCTCCTTGGAAACTCTTTAATATCAGAGTTAATGCTAGTGGATGCTTTTGCAGATAAGGACTCTGGTGTGCTGGTACTACCGGGTATTGTTGGCTGTTGTTCGATTTTACCATTAGTATTGTTCCCTAGTGTCTGTGTGTCTCTTTTCGCTGTTGAGCAAGTAGGCATATTTTTAACAGGTATTGGAGTATCATCTCCAATAGAACCCAATGTTCTTGCCAAAGGTGCAACTTGATTACCTGGTGGTGCATGAGGACTCAAAGTTGATGTGATATTCGGAACTAATGTAGTTGCAGTCACAGAATCTGCTATTGCTTTTCTCTTATTTACTAAGTTATCCAAAAATTCATGATAGTCTGCATCATCACCTTCTTGATACAAGTCTAATTCTTGAATTGTCAAGAATTAGACTTGTGATTAGCTAGCACAGAACATGCGCAACGATCCGTCATCGACCGTAAGCCAGTTGGTATAGACCAAAACCGTTTTTTATTATTATTTACTTGAATAATAAACTTATCTCCATTTTTATCTTGGGTGCTGTTAGTTCGTCTCATGAACTAACGATGGGAGTATCGAGAATTTATTTTTAATGTATAATTGATTTATTTTTTGGTCGAGAAAATATGGGTGCTAGGACCCAGCACCCAAACCTTATTTTATTTTTTTTAAGGGAATATTTACAGACGAACAAATGAGCAACATTAAGAAAAGTTGTTGTGTAACTAACGAACTATCTAAAGAAATAATTAGTTTGTCAATTATCTCAAAAAATTAGAATATGGGTGCTAACTTTTAAGACCTCAATTTACGAGGGTGGTCTGATAAGTACTTAGCCTCACCGCCCGATGGCGCCACTCTCGCAAAAGAAATATTCTATCACGTTCAACCTTCTCGATGGTTACTGTCAAGATTTCAGCCGGATCGGAGTGTAGTTTATTTTTGAGAGCGTGTGAAAGCAAGTGTGTCCATTGATTTTTGAAAAATGGAAAAAGCAGTATCGGTCGGTGATTCGATTCTTGTGTCACGTCGATACGAAAGAAAAAGTACGTGACAAATTATAAGTTATGGTAACAAACCGGGTATCGATAATTTAGTTTTCTATTGTACCAACCCTCCCGGGAAGATTTGTAAATCTATCTAGCGGGATAGATTAGTCTAAGCACGTCTCCATAATATTTCCGCGAATATTACTCACCGCATATTAAATTAGCGAAAACACAGGAAGGGGCATTTCAGCCTACGGTATAAAAAGGCTGGATTGGAATTCGCACAAGCAGTATATAGTATACAGTACGCAGGACACAGTTGACGATTCAGCAGTTTGGTAGTTTCGCAAAGTTATTTGTTAAGTCTAACTATCCGGCTACTTAGAACCGGGATTATACTCTGTTAAGTACTATAATTAAGTTTAAACATTAAATCTTAAATCAAGCGCAAATACCTGAGACTGTTCGTAAAAAACCTCTTCTGAAATCCAATCCTAATAAGGTAAGAAACTATTTTATCTGCTTGAATAATAAACTTATCTCCATTTTTATCTTGGGTGCTGTTAGTTCGTCTCATGAACTAACGATGGGAGTATCGAGAATTTATTTTTAATGTATAATTGATTTATTTTTTGGTCGTGAAAATATGGGTGCTAGGACCCAGCACCCAAACCTTATTTTATTTTTTTTAAGGGATTATTTACAGACGAACAAATGAGCAACATTAAAAAAAGTTGTTGTGTAACTAACGAACTATCTAAAGAAATAATTAGTTTGTCAATTGTCTCAAAAAATTAGAATATGGGTGCTAACTTTTAAGACCTCGTAAATTGTACGAACAGCCACAAGCTACCTAAAATGAGAACGGCTACAATTACTCCGTTAGTTTTCAAAAATATTTCCACAACATTTTCATTAGCTGAAATGTATTTTTTGTAATTTTTAAGAAGGGTTAGCTAAATGTTGCCAAAAGATTTTCAAACATAATTTGTAACAACATTGTGACTAACGTTCAAAAAACTGGTTTCAGCAATATTTTGTCAATAACATTAGGTTTGAAACAACGGTTGACATTTGAAAATTTTGTCAACATTGCTGCATAATGTTGCAAAAATGTTTGATGGTTGCTAAAAAAGTTGGGATGTTTTTGAAAAAATGTTTTGGCAACATTTTGGGAACAATTATTGCTGGTTGGATATTATCTTTAAGGCAGTAAATATGTAAAATTTATTGTGGCTTTTCATCATTATTAGAAATACATTGTAATACTTATAAGAAATTAATATGCATTATAGTTATTAAATTATTACAAATTTTCATTGACAATAAAGTATATTATTATTGCAAATTGCTTAATCTTCCTCTATTAAACTTTTCTCTTTATAAATAAAAATTTCTTGATATATTCCTATATTCCATTTATTGAAGTAAAGTTGGGCAGTTCTGAATTATTTCGTTCAACAAACTCTTTTAACAATTGCTCATTCTTGGTATTGTGTTTTATAGAGCCTTTTAAAGATGTTATATCTGGTAAGTATTCTATGGAATATTTTTTATTGGCAAAAAAGATTCAAGTGGTTCAAGAATACTTTTATGATTGAGATATATTATTTCCTGAAAAGTTATTTATAAATAATCAAATTATGTATTAATTTTAAAAATATTTGAAAATATTCAAACTATATCACTTCAACCTCTTTTTGTAACTGACTAACCGAAGTTCCCAAATATGTAGCTACTTGATTTGGTGGAAATAAAGCTTGTATACAATATTGAATATATGGAACAAGGTATTCATGAAAACATTCTGTAAATTTGATTATGTTTTCTCTATCAAGTGCTGTAAAAGTCTGTAATTTAAAAATACACATTCTCATTTTTTTACTTATATTACTTATTTGATTTTTTACTTTTAAAAATATTAAAATAATTCTATTACATACTTTATTATCATTCACAAAATGTAAAAATATTGTTCTGGCTATAGTCTGCAAAGAAATCTGTAAGAATTTCGTGAATGATTGAGCTAATACAACTGGTGTATTAAGCCTTATTTCATTAAATATTTTGATTAGTCCATTACAATATTCAGCAAGGGGATAATAATCCGTTAATTGTTCAGGTGGACTTTCCTATGAAATATATTTTCAACATCATTTCAATTGGTATGGAATATATATTATTATATATTATTATATATTATAATATTCATTCAATGTTTATAATATTTATTGAAAGGTAATTTTCTAAATATCAAAAGTTATTCTTCAGAAATATTTCATATTTATATTTTTTATCATAGAAGACAACATTTATACGTACTGAATTTAGAACTAGATCAATTTTTATATTAGATTTGATAGATTTATGGACAAAAGTAAATTGATCGATATCTTTTTCAAATTTTCTTGTAGCTGTTAATATGCTTTTGTCAAATTTATTACTGATAGCCTTGGTAAATATTTCAGACATGCGGCCTGTGAAATCAGCTCCAACTTTTCCAAAAGACAAACCAAAATATGTGCATTGACCAAGTATAGAATCAATAAATATAATTTCAGGCAAATCTTGTTCTAAAGTAGAAAGAAATTTGGATACCTGTAGTGAAAATATAATAATTTATATGTTAACACCAAAATAAAATACAATTGATAACTTCTGTATGTAGCATACTTTTTCTTCTAACCACTCATGGAAAATTGTAGAATCATTGACAGTACTATAGGATCCAAGAATCATATGGTCATCATCATTAAATATAGCTTTATATTGAGTAATTATATTATACAAATTTATTCTTGACAATTCAATAGTTTTGATCAAATGGATACTTGCTGAAAATGGTATTGATTTGCTTAAAAATTTAATCAACCAAATTATTAAATTTACATATTAATACTAATTAACATTATTACTGCTAATTAGTTAATTACTAATTAACATTATTTACCATTATTGGTTGGAATTGATTCTAAAAGTGATTGAAACCAAGTATCACGAGCTTGAATAAATTTTAAACGTAGTTCAGACTCTGTAAATACATCCATAGATCGAAGTAATCCTATCAACTGTAAACATCTCGGCAGTGGCAAGTCTTCTTTTAAAGAATTAAAAACTTGATTTACAACAAGAGACCATTTATTTTCAACTTCATTTATAATATTCTAGAAAATAAATCGATAATAAAAAAATTTCTGTAACAATATTCTTATATAAAATGAAAATTTACATACACATATAATTGGTATGTTTCTATGTTTGACTCCCAAATTTCTTGCATACTGTGATAGTTCTAAAGCCTCACTGTACTGATCAGTTTTTAAACATAATTCCATTAAATATGGTAGCTCTAAAATTTCGAGTAGCTCAGTATTTTTATTCAGTGCCAACGTATTTAATCTTTTGTGAGTATTAATGGTATTTGATTTATTACAAAAAGATGTACACTTATTCATAAACTGTGGTACTTTTTCTACTAAACAATCTAATTCTTTTTCTGTTTGATTAAACTAAAAAATATTTAATTTAATAATATGCATGATAAGAATACAATTTTATTTAATTGATGATTTTAAGTAATTTTTTACTTCCTGGAATATTTTTCTACAACATTCAGCAGTGTGAATAAATGTTCTGTAGTTTGAAAAAACCAACTCGTGTATTCTTTGTTGAACAGCATTCTTTTCATTAATTAAATGATCTGGTTCACTATCTGGTTACAAAAAAATTTAAAAAAAACGAAAATTATAATAAAAAAATATGTGTTATTATTGGTGGCTTACTTATTTGATCTACATCATATTCTCCAATTTTCGATAAGTATTGATAAAAATCTGAATTATCTTTCCAAGAATCTAATCAAAATAAGTATTATTTTGAGAATTTTCATAAAATAACAATGGATTTGAAATAAAAAATAAATAAAACTACCAGGAAAATTATTAGGAAATAATAATTCGATCATTTTTACAGTTTCGATATCCATTATAAAATATGGTATGTTTATATATTCTCACACGTATATATATATATAAAATTACATTATATTATGTTATACTATATTTATATCCTCTTATTCCCCTTATTTTCCCTTATCCCCGTTATAAAAAATAAAAAAGGGAATGAAGACAAGTGGACACACAATAATTCAGACAATGTAAGGGTGTTCACAGAATGATTCTGCCTAAATATGAAATGAATTCTGACATAATGACACGTTGAAATAGGATGTCATGAGCCACTGCGCAGCAAGCTATGCGCAGGTGATTTCTAGGGATTTTAGAGGGGAGCGTATTTTGAATACAAAATGATAAAAATGAAAACAAACAAAAACATTACAATACATATTCCCCAAAAACAAACGATAGATTTTTATAAATTGACTTATTTGGCTACCACATTTCATTAATAGAAATTCACATTTTTCTAAATACTAAATATTATAATTTTTATTTCACATAGGAATTATCATTATATTAACAAAAAAATACTTTTCTATCTAATCGAGATATATATATATATATATCTCGATTAGATAGATATATATATATATATATCTCGATTAGATAGAAAAGTATTTTTTTGTATATATATATATATAACTTTAGCACGAGATTTAATAATGTCAATAACAAAAAAAGGTACAATGATGGCAGAAGCTGTACTCTAAAAACGCTGCGAGTTATAAATAAAAAAAGAATATAATTCTGGTTCGGCGTGTAGTATCTAGAAAAAAAATCAATCATGTAAGTAAAATTTATCGCGCGTACTCAAATTGAAATTTTTTTTATGCTATACATACTTTGATGTGGTTTATCAGTGTTGATTCGGACGCTCTTGCCGGTTCCGAACTATATGCCTCAAAAAGTCCTTTTTGACGATAATCGAGTGGTTGCGAGGAGTCAATCAAAAACTATCGAAGTGAATCTTTTTTCGGATAATAGAAGAGAATCTAGACTTTTTAAAACCATATACTACATGAGGAAATCGATACGTTGAAACATGAAAAATAAGTACATCTGTTCGACAACTCTGACGTTTCCCCATTTCATTGTATTATAGTGTTGCGGCCGGCCAGCAGTCTCGTGATCACTTCGGGCCTACTCGCCTACGGCTCTCAACCGCGACCCTTGATAAAAATTACAATATTTAGTATTTAGAAAGAAAAATGTAAATTTCATATTATTAATAAAATGTGATAGCCAAAGAAGTCAATTTATAAAAATTTGTCGTTTGTTTTTGGGGAATATGTATTGTAATGTTTTTGTTTGTTTTCATTTTTATCATTTTGTATTCAAAATACGCTCCCCTCTAAAAACTCTAGAAATCACCTGCGCATGGCTTGCTGCGCAGTGGCTCATGGCATATCCTATTTCAACGTGTCATGGTGTCAGAATTCATGTCATATTTAAGTGTCAGAATCGTTCTGTGAACACCCTAAAACGACTTAAATTCTACCACATTAACAGATCGAAAGTTACTTTTGTAACCAAGGTTTGCGATCGAGAAATCTCTCCCAGGGTCCCTAAAAATTGTTTCACTTATTTTCAGTTCAGTTCTAGTTCCATATGTATTTGTTATCAAAGCGTACCTGATTTAGCTTCAATTGGGTGAGAATCCGATGACACTACAAGATATTTCATTTTCATGAAGTCGTATCACATCTATATCATTTATACAGCTATGACCAAGATGCTATGGGAATGCCAGCTGTGAATCTTGGTCATAGCTGTATAAACGATATAGATGTGATACGACTTGATGAAAATGAAATTTTTTGTAGCGTCATCGGATTCTCATCACTACGCCAGAAATTTCTTCTTGTGTTTACATCTGAAACTGAAAGAAAGATTGTTGATTACTTAGTTATTTGTAGTTACATAACGTATTTTATGCATGAAAAGGTTAAAAATTATTGTTTTAAGATAACATGTCTTATAAACTGGAAAATCAAACGTTACCAAAAAAAAGCAATCTTGCTTATTATGTGAGAAACTATGGTTCGCGAGAACGCTTCGAGACTAAATTAAGTTTCTACGTTTTTTCCTTCATATAAAAAAATTAATCACCGTGCAAATATATTTAGGATTGCTAAACCAATTAATTTGCATGCTTATGGATTAAAGGTTTTGGTATCACAGGTGAATCAAACTGTCATGTCGATACTAAGAGAGCGCACATGGCGGACTATGATATCTAATCAAGTATCACGAGAACACATGACGGGTTATGGTAACTAATCGGGTATCGGTAATTTAACTTCCTATCATACCAATTGTTAACCTTCCCGGGAATATTTGTAAATCTATCGAGCGAGATAGATTAGGCTAAGTACGTTCTCCATAATATTTCCGCGAATATTACTCACCGTATATTAATTTGGCAAAAAACAAGGAAAGGGGCACGTCAGCCTATGGTATAAAAAGGCTGGATCAGAATCCGCGATTACTCACTCACTCAGTAAGAGAGTAGTAACTCAGTAATTCTGTAGTTTAGTACTGTTATTGTATTATTTCTAAGTTTCGCTACCCGACTACTCATAACCGGAATTATACTCTGCTAAGCATTATAAACTTGTCTTTTCAACAATAAATTTTAATGAAGTGCAAACACCTGAGACTGTTTCATAAAATCTCCTCTGAAGCCCAGTCCTAACAAGGTAAGAAATTAAGTTATCTACCTAAACACACCACATATAACAAAGGCGCTATCCTTTTAACCAACCTCTGCTTACCTCCTGACTGAGATCCAACTTTTACCAACGCGACAGTATTTTAAACATTATTACGTCTAGCCATAACACCTCCTCGTCTAGGCATAACAAAACAAATATTGGAGAGTCTGTTATGAGTACACCAAATGATGTTTAAGCGAGAGGTTCAAAGCAAGTAGGTAATGGTTTAGGACTAAACGCGGAAGCTTCGAGGAAAGAATAACATGTGATAATAAAGCAAAATGAAAAGATAGCAATTTCCATGCAAGAATTAATAACTAATAGTCTCACCTTGATTATTATCCGAAAGTAACTTGTTGCTGCAGGTCGACAGTTTATCCATTTAATAATTTGGACGAGACGCGGATTAATTTAAAAGATAAAGGTCAAATAAATGTAACAGGTACTTCAATTGAACTCTTTAATCAAAGTAAGAAATGCAAAGTATAACTTATACTAGGTTATTTCAGATTTTGAACAGAGTAACAAAGAGACTTTTAATATGTAAACTATCAAGAGTTCGTAATCGTTAGAGCGTAAAGACAAGTGACAAAGGGACAAAAGCCAAAAAGCAAGAGAGAGTCCAGCAGCGAAACGCTGCTTTTAAACCTACGTTGGCTAACCTTTTCCTAGCTAACTTAATTTAAATTCAGACACTGATTCACCAAAAATCATTGGATCAAATCGTGATTACCTTACAAATTAGGGTCGGTTACAGAGTAAGTATACGCGACGGATAATACAGCGGCAGATGACATTATAGCGTGTAACGGATATTTATCCCGTTGACATAAAGAATTGTTAATAGTAAATGAAAACAAAATGAATTCGGGCTCGGTTAGGCTGAATGGCTCGGCTCGTCTCTTACTTGGGACTCCCGTCCACCAAGTGTTGTCGGGGCATCGTTGCTCCAATGCCAGGTCGGGGCGCTGGACCAGCACGCCTAACGTGAAATTCTAGGGATCGACGGGATAGGCGGAATATCGAAATAAGACAAACGCGCGTGAATAATAGACGCAGTATTTATTGGCGATAACACGGACGTTACATTAAACAGTACTTAAATAAATATAAGTGCTGCTAAGCAGAGAGAGAGAGAGAGAGAGAGAGAGAGAGAGAGACTTTCTCTCTCTCACCTACCTTGTCTCAACCTACTGAAACTTAAGTGATACATGTTAATATACATTTAATTTATAAAAGTATACTAGGACATGGGAGAGAGAGACATAAGGAGTAGCAGTCGCATACGTTATATGACCCTTCCTCAGTCACAGGTAGCCAGGGCGTACTGGTGCGAAACCCTGATCTCTCTCTGTGAGGTAGATAAATGAAATACACTATGTATATAGCCAAATAAATTTATTACTAAAGTGAACTGAAAGTTATAAGGAAAGAAATATATTGAATATGAATAAATAATAAAATAAAAGAAAGGAAATAAAGGAAGGAACTATAAGCTTAATGCCTCTCTCTTACAAGGGAAATACAACACAAAAAAATATGGCTTCAGTGCCGATCGGTACCGGAGAATAGGGGATGCCCTCGCTTAAGCGCAGGACACTTCGCGCTTATGCGGCCGGAGAAATGGTCTTCCTCTTCGGACAGGGAGCGGTGAAACCGGGATGGCTAATCATAGAAGTATCTGGCCAAGTATCCGTCGACCCACATCCAATGTATGGTGACGGCGTTTGGGCAGCTGGGGGCTCGTGCAACACCTGTTAAATAGCAGACTTTGCAATACTGCTTATTAATAAGGTCCTTTCAGGGACCTGCCCATCGGTCGCAGGGACGCTGGGCCGTTGAGGCTGCGGAACGGACCGGAGGGTTCGCAGGGCAAGCCGTAGCTGCAGCTGGGCGAGTGCCGGCCCGGTCTCGGCTAGAGGATCGAGATTCCCGCACTCGGGTCTGACGCTGGAGAAGCTCTTACCTTTTGTAGAGCTCAGCTAGCTGAGCTTGGATGGCTTCGAGTTCCTTTTCTTGGCAGCCCTTTCCCGCTCCAACTCCTGCCTTTCCACTTTAGCCTCACTGCGCTGCTTCCTCTCCTTCTATGCGATATATATATATATATATATATATTAGGCGATATGATAGTTATCACTGACGTGACTTTCTTGGAACCGCGCGGTCGACCTCGTCTTTTCGGCACCATTGTCGCGTGCGTTTTACTAGCGTCGGCAGGACTCGAGGCACGGTCATGGGAAATCGCAGGTTTAGTGTTGTGCTCAAGGGCGTTATGATCCTCATATTTAATAGGAGAATCATTGTCTCCTGCTTCGTCAGGAAACTACTCCTCGGCGTAGCAGGGTTAAAGATCGCATAAGGCGCCTTTACCCACATCAACTCCATCTTCACTTTGGAGTTAGTACGTGCTGGCACCCAGACACGATGTTATGAGAAAGGGTCCAGAAT